CATTTGTCTGTGGATATCCAGGGCTCATGTATGAGATTACTAACAAGCATTACTGAATAATCAGATGAGGGACAGTTTGCTATGTCTACTAGGTGGCTAGAGTCTGATCCTCGGAGCCTATGGTTTGGACGGTCAACTCCATAGGATTTTTGATGGCTAATTTTTCCAAAATACATCACCAGACCTTTTTTCCAAGGTCACTCTTAAGTGAGCTTGAGCCTCCAACCTTTCTGTTAACAGCCAAGCATACTCACTATTTGTACCACCAAGGGACTTCTTATTAATCTTTGTTGTTGTTAATTACCAAAGAGTTGATTCTAATTCATAGTGACCCTGTGTAGGGTGGTGGGTTTGAACCACTGACCTTGTGGTTAACAGTCCAGTGCTTAGCCTACAACGTCACACCAGGACTCCAGGGTCCGGTGTTGTTGTTGTTAAATGCTGTCAAGTTGGTTCTGATCAATAGCGACACTATGTAGGATTTTCGAGGAGCAACTGGTAAGCTTGAACCACCGACCTGACAATTCAAACCAACTTTGCAGTTTAGCACATTAACTCAGTCTCTGAGAATTTTATAAAGTATTTCCAAGTTGTGAGACTGAGAACAGTCTTCTTTTTATTCCATCTTTTAAAATGTATTTTTCCATATGGACCCAGAACTTTCTTTGCCTTTTTCTCTTTAAAAATTACTTCTTGATAACCCAACAGTAGCTCTGCCTGAATGTTTAAGTGTGATTTCAAAGGGATAAAGATCTAATTTGCAACTCATTTATCCTTGGATGTGTGCCATATATATTGCCCCAAATCCAGTCTCAAGGAGTTCTGTTGTGACACTGTAGGATAAGCATTGGACTGCTAACCACAAGGTCAGTGGTTCAAACTCACCAGCCATTCCTCAGATACCCTATAGAAGTTCACTATGAGTCAGAACCAACTCGACAATACTTATCAACAGTAACATTCCAATCTCAAAGCAGCATTCTAAATATAATTTCAGATGCACAAAATGCGAACGAGGGTCTGTCAAGTTGAATTCATGCACTCATATATGTGACTAGTCTTCTGTAATTGATGGCACATGGGCACAATATCTATTTAAAGCTATGCTCTGCTCTTTTCTGATGCTAAGAATAACTTTCTTGGAGATGTCTTGCATTTCATTTATAATTTAGTTAGCATGGTGGTTAACATGGTGGGCCCTTGAGTCTAATGGCTTTAGTTTGAATTTTGGCCCCAGCCCTAACTGGAAGCATGACTTTGAGGACATTATTTTGCCTTTCTGAGTGTCATGTTCCACATCTGCAAAATACTGAATATAGTAGTTCCTCCCTCACCAAATTGTGAGAACTAAATGTGAATGTTTTTACTGTGCTAGGAATGTGGTACATGTGATTGATGTTAGCAGTGATTCTTGTTACTTATTCTTGTTTTCTTTCCTAAAGGTTCTTTGCAGTTGGATTTTAAGTGTTAAGAAGAATTATCGGAAGAATGTTGCCTATCACAATTGGAGACATGCCTTCAATACAGCTCAGTGTATGTTTGCTGCTTTAAAATCAGGCAAAATCCAGGTAATTTTTAGCTCTATTTATATATTTAAGGCATTCTGTTGCTCTAATAGTAAAAATATACAGCATATTTCTTTCAAGTTTATTTTAATGTACACTAATGATGATTGAGAATATTTACTCCTACTAACCTGAGTTGTGGTGTTGGAGGAGAATACTGAAAGTGCCATGGACTGCCAAAAGAACCAATAAATCTGTTTTGGAAGAAGTGCAGCCAGAGT